AGCTCTGGACCAAGTGAATCTAATAGACGTCTGCAGCACTCTCCACCCCAAATCAACAGACTGGATTAAGAAAATGTGGCACATATACACCATGGAGTACTATGCAGCCATAAAAAGGATGAGTTCATGTCCTTTGCAGGGACATGGACGAAGCCAGAAACCATCATTCTCAGCAAACTAACACAGGAACAGAAAACCAAACACCACATGTTCTCACTCACAAATGGGAGTTGAACAATGAGAACACATGGATACAGGGAGGGGAACATCACACACTAGGGCCTGTTGAGGAGTGGGGGCCTAGGGGAGGGATAGAATTAGGAGAAATACCTAATGTAGATGATGGGTTGATGAGTGCAGCAAACCACCATGGCACAGGTATACCTATGTAACAAACCTGCATGTTCTGCACATGTAACCCAGAACTTAAAATATAATTAAAAAAAATAAATAAATTGACCACAGAGGTCTGGCTTGACATTTAGATACTCAATTTTATTCCATTGGTCAATATGCCTTTTCTGACATAAGTATCACATTTCTTCAATTGCTGTAGCTTTATAGTAAGTTTCGAAATCAAAAAGGAAGACTCCTCCAACTTTGCTCTTCTTTTTCAAAATTGTTTTGGCTATTTGTGGCCCCCTGTAATTCTATGTGAATTTGAGGATCTGCTTTCCCAGTTTTGCAAAAAAAAAAAAGGCTTGGAATATTATCAGGGATTGTGGTGAAACTGCAGATTGCTTTGAGTAGTAATGTTATATTCTTATGTCTATTGTTTTGAGATAGGATCTCACTCTGTCACCCAGGCTGCAGTGTAGTTGTACAGTCACGACTCACTGTAGCCTCAACTTCTCTGGGGTCAGGTGATCCTCCCACCTCAGCCCCCCAAGTAGCTGGGACTACAGGTGTGTGCCACCATGCCCAGCTAATTTTTCTATTTTTTTTTTTTTATTTTTGTAGAGACAGAGGTTTACCATGTTGTCCAGGCTGATCTCAAACTCCTGGTTCAAGCAATCCCTCTGTCTCAGCCTCCCAAAGTCCTGAGGTTATAGGCATAAGCCACTGTGTCTGGCCAAAATCTTAACAATATTAACCTTTCTACCTGAGAAAATGACGTATCTCTCCCTTTATTTAGATGTTCTTTAATTTCCTTGGCAATGTTTTATAGTTTTCACTGTACAAGTCTTTCAGGTCCTTTGTTAACTTTGTTCTTTTGGATGGTATTATAAATTGAATTGGTTTCCTAATTTTGAAATTGTTCATCATTAGAAATGCAACTGATTTTTGTGTGTTGATCTTGTACCCTGCAATTTTTCTTAAATTCATTAGCTCAAATAGCTTTCTATGGATTCTTTGGGATTTTCTATATATAGGATAATGTCATGTGTTAATCAGAGATCATTTTACTTCTTTGTTTCCAATTTTGATGCCTTCTCTTTCTTTTCTTGCTCTGGCTAGAACTTCCAGTAAAATGGTAAACAGGAGTGGTGAAAGTAGGAATGTTTGTCTTGTTCTTGATGTTAGGGGGAAAGCTTTCAGCCTGTTGCCAATCAATCTACTATTTGTGGGATTTTCATAAATGCCCTTAATCATGTTGAGGAAGTCTCATCTCTTCTTAGTTTTATGAGGTCATTCTTTCTTTCTTTTGATCAGGAAAGGGTGACGGATTTTGTCAAATGCCTTTTCTATGTCAATTGAGATGACCATGTGATTTCCCCCTTCTTCATGTGATGTATTATATTGATTTTCTTATGTGAAACCAACCTTGCATTTCTGGAATAAATTCCACTTGGTCATGGGGTATAATCTTTCTAATATGCTACTGAATTTTGTTTGCCAGTATTTAGTTAAGGATGTATGAATCTTATTTATAAAGGTTACTTGTAATTCTCTTTTCTTGTGATGTCTTTATCTGGCTTTGCCATTAAGGTAATGTTAGCCTCAGAGCATAAGTTAGGAAATGTTCCCATCTATTCTATTTTTTGAGAATTTGAGAAGGATTGGTGTTTGTTCTTTAAAGTTATGTAGAATTCACCAGTGTAGCCATCTGGTCTTGAATTTTTCTTTGGAAGTTTTTGGTTACTGATCCAATCTCTTTATTGTTACAGCTCTATTGAGATTTTCTATTTTGAGTCAGTTTATGTAATTTTTGAGTTTCTAGGGATTTTTCCTTTTCATCTAGGTTACTTAATTTGTTGGCACACAATTATTCATAGTATTCTCTCATAATCCTATTTCTTTATGATTGGTAGTAGCATCCCCACTTTAATTTCTGATTTTAGTCATTTGTGTTTTCTTTCTTGCTTCCTCAGTCTAGCTGCTTTATCAATTTTGTTGATTTTTATCAAAGAGCAACTTTTGGTTTGGTTTCACAAAATCTATTTTTTTTCCCTACTCTCTATTTTATCTGTACTCTAATCTTCATTATTTTCTTCTTCCGCTAGCTTTGGGTTTAGTTTGTTCTTCTTTTTCTAGTTTCTCATGGTATAAAGTAACATTATTGATTTGAGATCTCTTTTAATGTAGATATTCACAGTTATACATTTTCCTTATCTTTGCTGCATCTCGTAAGTTTCGGTATACTATATTTTTGTTTTCACTTGTCTAATTTCCCTTGTGTTTTTCTTTGACGCATTGAGGTTTCATTTTGTTTTTTTGTTTCTGAGACAGAATCTCACACTGTTGCCCAGGCTGGAGTGCAGTGGTGTGATCTTGGCTCACTACAACCTCTGCCTCCCAGGTTCACATGATTCTCATGCCTCAATCACCTGAGTAGCTGCGATTTATTGAGACATATTATATGGTGTAACATATGGTCTGACCTGGAGAATGTTCCGTGTACACTTGAGAAGAATGTGTATTCTTCCGTGGTTGGGTGGATTCTTCTATGTGTCTGCTAGGTTAAGGTGGTTTACAGTGTGGTTCAAGTTATCTGTTTCCTTCTTGATCTTCTATCTAGAGGTTCTATCCATTATTAAAAGTAGTGTAGTGAATACTCCATCTATTGTTGCAGAACTGTTTCTATCTTCAATTCTGTCAGTTTGCCTTGTATATTTTGGGGCTCTGTTGATTGGTATATATGCTTATAATTGCTATATATTTTGATAAATTGATCCTTTTATCAATATGACATGGTTTTTATCTCTTGTAACAATGTTTGACTTAAAGTCTATTTTGTCTGACATTAGGATAACCACCCCAGTTTCCTTTGGTTACTATCAGCACATAATATTTTTTTTCCACCTTTCATTTTACTCTACATCTGCCTCTGTATCTAAAGTGAATCTCTTGTACACAGCATATAGTTGAGTCATGTTTATTTTAATCAATTTTTACAATTTGCCTTTTGCTCAGAGAGTTTAATCTATTTACATTTTAAAGTACTGATAAGAACTTACTTCTGATTTTGCTATTTACCATATGTCATATACATTTTTTGTCCCTTCTTTATTAGTGCCTGCTTGTATGTTTGCTTCTTGTAGTGAACTGTTTCAATTTTCTCCTCATTTTCTTTTGTGTATATTTAGGTGTCTTATTTGTGATTACTATGTGGATGACATTTACACCTATCTCTACAACAATCTAGTTCTAGATAATACCAACTTAACTTCAGTAGTACATAAAAACTTTCCTCCTATACAGTTCCATCTCCCTGCTTTTATGTTGTAACAAATTATATCTTTATACATTGTATGTCCAATAATAGATATGCAGTTAAATTATTTTTCATTCATTTAAGTCCTGTAGGAAATAAAAAGTGGAGTTATAAACTAAAATTACAATAGCACTGGCTTTTATATTCGCCCAACTATTTACTGAAAATCTTTATTTATTCATACAGCTTTGAGTTTTATTTTATTCTAAACAATTCCCTTTAGCACTTTTTTGCAGGGCAGGTCTAGTGGTAATGAACTCCCTCAGTTTTTATCTGGGAATGTCTTAATTTCTCCATTTTTGAATGACAGTTTTGCCAGATACAGAATTCTTGATTGACAAGTTTTTTTCTTCTAGCACTTTAAATATGTCATCTCATTGCCTTCTGTCCTCCAAGGTTTTTATGAGAAATCAGTTAACCCTACAGAAGATCCCCAGTGTATGTGATACATTGCTTTTCTCTCTGGTTTTAAGACTGTCTTTGGCTTTTGACAGTCTGTCGTGGTGTGGGTCTCTCTGAGATCATCCTAGTTGGAGATGGAGTTAGTTGACCTTTGAATTCGTAGATTTATATCTTTCACCAATTTTGGGAATTTAGGGATTTTCTTTCCTCAAATATTCTCCCTCTCTCTTCTCTTTGTGGAACTTTCATAATGTAATGATAACCCACTTGATGGTTTCCCATAGGTCCTTTAGGCTCTGTTTATGCCACTTCATTTTTTTCTCCTCCTCAGACTAGATAATTTCCATGGTCTTATCTCTAAGTTTCCTGATCCTGTCTTGTGCTTGCTTATATCTGCTTTTGAATATCTCTAGTGAATTTTCATTTTTATTACACTTTTCAGCTCCAGAATTTGTTTGGCTTCTTTGTATAATTTGTCTTTATTTATTTTCTCAGAGATGAGTGCCTGTGTAAGTCCTTCAGGTAGTATCCTGACTGGTTAGAACAGACATACAGAATTATGTATGAGGTCCACTCTGCTCCTTCTAGAACTAGGGACTTACACTGGCACTGCAGTGCCCTTCAAGACTGCTACTGCACTGGGATGGACCTGGAGCAAGTGCAGGTAAAATGCCACAAAGCTTTCATTTCTTTGCCCTTTCTTGATCCAGTGTTCACTTGGTTGCTGAACACTTCTGGCTGTTTTCAGAGTTCTGGCAAATTGGGTTGACAGTTTTTGTTGTTTTCTGATGTTTCCTTGGGGTAACAAGAGTTCAGAGCTGCCTATTTTGCTCACTCAAAATTTTGAATTTTGAAACCAAATTTTAAATGTTGGTTGCTACAGATACTAAAGATTTAACAAATTTATATACCTAGTGTATCTAGTTACTTTTTTATTACATACCATTGGAGTACGATGTTTCACTTTGGTCTGAATAACGCCATCTTTTTCAAACTGTATCATATCATTAAGTGGATCCCATGGTCGGGTACTACAAAAATGAAAAACAAATACCAGTTGCTTAATAACCAAACAAAAAGTTTAAAACTTTCTATTCCATGATTTAATTTTATTAATAATTATATACACAGTTCTAATTTCTCCATATCTAATCTTCTGATCATAACTACTAGAGTCAAGCTCATAATGAACACAACATCAAGTTTAAAAATCTCACACTAATATACATGGTTTAAATAATTAAAAACTACTCCAGCAACAAATATTATAAAGGCAACAAGCCATGCTAATATACTGTTTGAAATAAACTATTTTAAATTACTTACTCTGCAAACTTATAATGCCATTCTCCTGTGAGTGAATCAAGTTCAAATAATCTGCAAGACCACTCTTCATTTTTTGTTTTCCGATCTCTGGCAGCTTGCCTTTGAGCTTCTTCCAAAACATACTTCTCTTGGGTAGCTTCGGTTTGGTCTTTGGCATTTATGGCTCGAGTTACCCGCTGCCAGAGTCTAATATATGTGCAAAAGTAGCATTAAAAATGAAACAGAAAATAGAATTTATAGAGAATAGACTTAAATCCCCTTGAGAGAAAATAACATTCACATGGATTTCTGGCTTTGACAATACGTATTCTCATATGCTTAGAAATGAGTCAAGATATAAATCCAATCCCTCGAGTAGAAAGAGATCTGTTCATAAGTGGAGACTAATTTTTTTACTTGGCAAGAGAAACTTATTACATGGACTCTTAAACTCATGGTAGTAAGTGTTGCTGGCTCAAGATGATAGGAATGTAATAAAAGTAAAGCTCAGGAATCTATACTTTTAGCAAGTGTTCTAGATGATTCATACACTGTTTAAGATCCACTGGCTTCACAAAGATCCATTACTGTAATGCAGTGCTTCTCAACTTTGGATCCATGAATTATCAGAGAATTTTTATAATCAGAATCTCTGGGGTCAGGCCCAAGTATTTGTATTTTAAAATGTTTCCCCAAAATATTTTAATGTATTGCTACTGTTGAGAACAACTACTTAACAGAAAAGACTACTGGGGTAAAATGATTTCCCCTACTAGTTCTTTCTTCTGTTAAATAAAAGTATATCTATATCCCACCCATCTGGGAAGGCAGCAAAGCCAGAAGAAAAGGCTTTGAGATCAGATAGACCTGAGTCCTAGATCTGCCACTTCTTAGCTGGTGCACTTAAAAGTTATTTATCCTAAGTCTCATTTCCGCATCTTTAAATATGCTGAATTATATGCCCTCAAAAATTATCATATGCCTTGGCAAAGCTTATTTCTGGATAAACAATATGATGTGGTTATGGCTGATGCAGAATTTTAGAGCTGGTACTTATATATTCTTCCATCTTTGACAACCTCAATTTTGAGTGCAGAAGAGAAGGCACACACATACTTGAATTCCCATGTGAGAGAATGATACGTATATGGGAATGATATGTATGTGGGATGACTAAGTTGCATAATGTGTGTTAAGTGCCTAGCAAAGTATCTTTTATACAGAAGTCTCTTTCTTTTAACACAAAGATATAATAACAATAAAATGGGAAATGTGTATACAATATTTTTGATTCAACAATATAAGTAATCTAGCAAGAATTTAATGACTTAAGAACAGAAATGATAGCCTTAATTATTACCCAACTAATAAGTCCTTTAGAATCAGTACATCCAGTGACTTTATTTTTGTTTCAGAGAATGGAACAGAAGTAGATTCTGTACCACAGTTCTAATGCCTAAACCAGGTTAGAAAACAGTTGCCAGGTACTAACTGAGAGTCACTAATTAGTCCTGTAATTTTATTTCAACAAAAACGTTCTGTTCTTTCTTTGTTTTAAGGTACTGGAGCAGCTGAGAAAGAAAAAAATGAGAAGTTTTAGTTTTGAGCTACAGAAAAGCAAGATGATTTGTATTATATTTATTTGACATTCATATACACAGAAACAGAATACTGTCACATTCCACAAATGATAAACTATTTTGCTGAATTAAGATATGACAGAAGAAAGCTGACAAAATGACCATATCATTAAGGAACTGAAAAACTACTCTCTGATCATTAGGAAGTTAGCTGAAAAACAGAATACTTACTTCTCTGATTCAAAATCTCCCTGTTCTTCAAATTTTACAGTGTGCCTCATTAATCTCCATTGCTTAATATCGGGTGTTGGATTCCAGAAAACCTCTAAATTATCAGTCTTTTTATCAGTAATAAAAACTTCACTATCCTATATTTAAAGACATTAAAAATTAATTTAGAGAATTATATTTAGAAGGCAACTGTATACTACAGTAATATGATGGTGATAATTTCTTCTGGTTACTTAATCCTCCAGTTAAACATTTTTAAAACAAATATAACTAGAACTTTTCCAAAAGCCCCAAGTTTCTTATAATTTTTATGAAAACATTAAGATCAAATATGTAATACTAGTTAATACAAATAATTTGGTTGACTATCCAGTTTGTGAAATTTCACAAGTTTTACTTAATAAATTTCAATCATTACATGCAAAACCTCAATAAGCATCTCCAAACTGTCAAAAATAGAACACAGTATTTGTTATAACTAAAATGAAATGCTGTTGACTATCCATGGATTCAATACACACATACACATAAACACACACACACACACACACACCCCTGAAAGAGCCTTTCCTCGCATTAAAAATTTGAGATCTATCTCTATCGAATAATCTATCTAAGACAGGGTCTTGCTCTTTTGCCCAGGCTGAAGTGGTGCTATCTACCTTATCTATCTATTTTACCTATCTAATCTATTTGTCTATTTATCTTCTTTTCTCTCATCTCTATCTTATCTTATCTTATCTTATCTTATCTTATCTTATCTTATCTGAGACAGGGTCTTGCTCTCTCACCCAGGCTGGAGTGCAGTAGCACAATCATGGCTCATTACAGCTTCCAACTCCCAGGCTCAAGCAATCTTCCTCCCTCAGCTTCCTGAGTAGTCAGGACAGGCATGCACCACCATGCCCAGCTAATTTTTTTTTTTTTTAATTTTTAGTAGAGAAGAGGTCTTGTTATGTCACCCAGGATGATCCTCCCGCTTCAGCTTCCCAAAGTGCTGGAATTATAGTAGTGAGCTACCCCACCCAGTCAGAAATTTTGGTTTTTAAAAATGACTGTTTTATGCTTTTTCCAGAAGATGTTAAGATTTAAGGCAATTAATTTTTTTTTCAGAGTGTATGTGGCCACTTAGTGGAGTCCCTAAATACAGCTTCACTTTCTCATGTTTCTCAACATTTTCTGCTTATTGTATGCAGAAAGGAGCATATACTGAGTGCTCACAGTGAGGGCATATCCATGCAATGCCATGATTCTTTTTATTCATTTAAGCTCCTTTTAACAAAATTACATAAATTTGGATCTAGGTTAGCAAAGAAGTAAATAAAAGCCATTGCTCTCATATACCACTATATCCTTTCCATGTTCCACTGAAAGGAATATAACTCTAATTGGAATTATGCCTCTTTCTTCTATGTGAGAGGCAGTAGAGTGCTATGCATAAAAGCACAGCCCTGGAGCCCTGGCTTTAATTCCTGTTCCACCACCTACTTTGAGCAAATTATGTGAACTCTCTGTGCCTCAGTGTCTGTCCTCTTCTGTAAAATGGAGACAATAATAAACAATAATAAAATGGGCATGGCAGCTATAAACTCTCCTCGTAGGGTTTTATATTATAAATACTAAATGAGTTACAATGAGTAACATTCTTAAATAAGGATTACATAGTAAGTCATATTTAAGTGTTAGCTATTTCTACTGATTTTAAAGTTTTAGAAAGAGAAAATATTACATAAAATTAATTACTGTTGATAACAAATCAACACCAAAAACCTGCTATTAAAAGCTGAAGCTTATGTTAAATAGTAATGTTTTTAGCAAACAAGTAAGTTTTAAATTTTAAATGTGATTGTTATTTTTTTCCCACAGAATAAAATTATTTTTGTAAAGCTCATATATGAAATACTTACCCAATGTCCTTCCAAAGTAGCTAGGACTTCTTTTCCCAATTTAAGTCTTCCTGATATTTGATTAACACAGTCGCTACTCCCTAGGAATGGCTTTTAAAGGAGAAAATGTTAAACACTTTACTTTTCACTTATATTTACATATAATGTAAAAAAAAAAAAAAAAAAAAAAAACCAACAAAAATTACTGGTATAGTTACAGTGCTCTTGAATGCACAAGCAGTAAAAAATACTGACTCAAATTTTAATTAGAAATGTTTAATAAGAAATTTGAATTGCTGTTATGGAAAAAAAACAGGTTAAAAACAGACTATATTAAATCAAACTAAATATATTAAGAAGGATCACACTGATACAACTGACTCATGTCTTGTGTACTCTCAAATCCTGCATCCTCATCTAACTGTCAAGACAGAGCCCTATCAATGTGACGTTATCTTAAACAATACCAACTCAGTAAACCTAAGGGAATTAACGATCTAGTGAAATACGTGACACTCCTTCCTTAAAAAAAAAAAAAAAAGGAAAATACATAGCTCCAAAAAATAAAATTGGAAGGAATATATTTTGAGTTACTATAATGCCTTACTGATGTCTGTCTTTGGAGACAAAATTTTGATGCTCCAATATAATAAAGGCATCATCTATACTTAAGAACTCATTCATCATGATCTCCAAACATTATCATCACCATACAAGCAAAAATTTGCCAAGGTGAAAGAGAAATAAAATAAAAGGCATTGCATCAAATAATATTTAAGAAGCCTTTTTTTTTTAGAGCAAAATTGCTTATCAGCTGGATATCAACATAGGAGCAATTTAGTAGTAAATACCACATAGCTCACAGACATTTTTTGTTGTTTTTTTTTTTTTTTTTGAGATGGAGTCTCGTTCTGTTGCCAAGTTAAGAGTGCAATGGTGCAATCTTGACTCACTGCAACCTCTGCCTCCCGGGTTCAAGTGATTCTCCTGCCTCAGCCTCACGAGTATCTGGGACTACAGGTATGAGCTAATTTTTGTATTTTTAGTAAAAACGCGGTTTCACCATGTTGGCCAGACTGGTCTCGATCTCTTGACCTCGTGATCCAAACGCCTTGGCCTCCCAAAGCGCTGGGATTACAGGCGTGTGCCATCATGCCCAGTCCAGAAATATTTTTATCTGAACATAATATACTATTGTTTAGGAACAATTAATTCACATTAGGGTCTCAAATTTCCCTTTCATTCTGAGGCAGACAAAATTTTCCAAAGATGGCCTTGACAATATGTACCCTCTCCTCTCCAGCCCACATGCTCTTCCTCAAGGAGATTTTGCTACTCTCTCAATGAGAAGTGGAGTCTATATTTCTTCACCTTAAATTTGGGTGGTCTTACAACTTTCCAAATAATAGAAGATAGTGGAAGTGATATAATTTGGCTTCTCAGGCTAGGTCATGGAAAGCAAATATAGCTTCTGCCTGGCTCACTGGGGCACTTGCACTTGGAAACCCAAAACTACCAAGTAAGAAGTCTACTTTGAGGCTGTCACATGGAAAGACCATGTATACAGGTGCTCAGATTAGCAGTCCTAGTCCTTCAGTCACCCTAGACCAGGTATCAGATATGTAAATGATAAGCCTTCAGGTGATTCCAGTCCCGAACTGTCAAGTCACCTATGGCCTACAAAGTCTTTCTGAGACCCCAGACATTATGAAGTAGAGACAAGCCATCCCCAATATGCCCTGTCCAAATTTTTGACCCACAGAACTCATGAAGAACAGCACACAGCTATTTTTAAGTCTGTGAGTTTTAGAGTAATTTGTTACATAGAAATAGTGACTAATACAACTGTGCCTTAATTTACACAGCTAGACTGCCAGATGATACATAGCTTCTGGCATTTGGTAAAACAATCCTTTAATTTACTAAGAAATTTCTATCCAATCACGTTTTAAATCTCACCTTCCATATAATGCCCACAGTTTTATTAATAAAAATGAAAAGCAAAAAATGATGTCTTTGTGTTAATTTGAATTTTCCAAGACTGCTATCTTAGGCTATCCAAAGATATTCACCTTGGTTGGCCCTTATTCTTTAGATGCACTTGTCTTTGACCTGACATAATTGTGTTCTCACATTTAGTTCCGAATTAGGAAATACATGGTGCCCTTTATTCAATATTTATTGTACAACTCTCCTTTAATTAGGTGATACCTACTATATTCTCTACTAACCTTTAGTTTAAATTCAAGTATTGCACTATATCCAGTTTTTTGACATGTAATATTGACTGTTCCACCAAGCTCCAGTGTCATTGTGCCGTAAAGAATTCCTAAAGGAAAAAGATTTGACAAAAAATTGAAGACGATCTAGTACATGGGTCATAATAAACAGTTTAGTAATCTAATCTCCTTTTAAGAGAAACATAATTCAAGGTTACTCTGTCCCACTCAAATGAAAATCTATAATATAGACATAAAGTTGGTTCCATAGGATATAAATAGATAACTAATTCACATTATGTGCAGATTCCATATCTGTAAACTCACCTAATCAATAAAATATCAATACCCACAGCGCTTCTATAGTCATTTGGAGACATATGCAGAGTAGAGAAAAATTTGAGTCACCCGATGTACACATTCCAAGCTGAGGCTGAGCAAGGCAACACTATTGTTTCAGTGCCCACATTGTTTTAAAAAAAAAAAAGTGTCCTTTTTGCAGTGTATTTAATACCATATTTTTCACATTTTTGTACTTTTCGTTGGTGGTTTTGCTGTTTAAAATGGACCCACATGTAGTGTTGCAGTGCTGTCTAGTAAGTGTAAGAAGGCTGTAATGTATCATACAGGGAAAATGTGTCTTAAAAGCTATGTTTAAGCATGAGCTTTAGTTCTGTTGGTTGACAGTTCAATGTTAACGAATCAATAATATATAATTAATGTTATAATTAAATCAGGTTTCTTTAAATAGAAATACATATAAAACAAGGTTATGTACTGATTGATTGGTTGATGAAAATGCTAGGACAAGAGGCTCATAGGAATCTAACCTCATACTCCCCTAGGAACAATAGCTCAGTATTTGCTAACTCAGTGGTGATTTTATATAACACAACTACTGCAAATAGTAAGAATCAAATGCATAACCAAAGCAAACAAAAAACTACAAAATAAGTTCGATGGTTAAAAGCTGGGGAAACTCTGGGTTTAACAAAGCTAAACAGGTTGTGTATGTATCTGCTGTTGGTCTAAAATGTTAAGGCAGCCTTTTTTTTTTTTTTTTTTTTTTTTTTTGAGATGGAGTCTCACTCTGTCACCCAGGCTGGAGTGCAATGGTGTGATCCTGGCTCACTGCAGTCTCCACCTCACGGGTCCAAGCAATTCTCCTGCCTTAGCCTCCTGAGTAGGTAAGACTACAGGCACACACCACCACGCCTGGCTAATTTTGTAACTTTAGTAGAGACAGAGCTTCACCATGTTGGTCAGGATGGTCTTGATCTCCTGACCTCATAATCCACCACCTGGGCCTCCCAAAGTGCTGGAATTACCACACCTGGCCTAAGGCAGCCTTTAATAGGCAATGTACAATATTATCTTTTGAGAGGGGAACAGACTATGCAATGTTTCTCATACTTATTTGGCTATGGAACTCTTATTTTATAAAACAATTTGTGAGACTAGTGACTTGGGGGAACATACCTTAGAAAACACACATGGTGAAACATCTTATTAAAACAATCATTTCATATGCTCATTCACAAACGGTTATAACTTCTTTTCTTTTTCCATGCAATAAAAATATTGCCATAAAAAATTTTCCCTATTGTTAGCTAAGTAGGGCATGGATATTTACATGGAATATAACTTTCTTTTTTCTTTTTCTTTTTCTTTTTTTGAGCCAAAGTCTCACTCTTATTGCCAGGCTGGAGTGCAATGGTGCAATCTCAGCTCACTGCAACCTCCACCTCTTGGGTTCAAGGTGATTCTCCTGCCTCAGCCTCCTGAGTAGCTGGGATTACAGGCATGCACCACCTTGTCTGGCTAATTTTATATTTTTAGTAGAGACTGGGTTTCTCCATGTTGCTCAGGCTAGTCTCGAACTCCCAACCTCAGGTGATCCGCTTACCTCGCCACCCAAAGTGCTGGGATTACAGGCGTGAACCACCATGCCCGGCCTATTTGTTCTAAATGATAGAAAATTAAAAAATATGTGTTCCTTCTCTGTACTAGCATGCTTTAAAAAAAATTTTGTTCTTATCAATTCATAATTAAAGATATTTCACTTCATGCTTACTTCAAGTATACCTGAAGCTCTAAGAATAATCTAGACTGAAGCCAGAAATTAGTCTCTTGTATATGCTGGGTTGACCTTGTATAAGACTCAACTGTCCCAAGTTTCTCATCTGTGAAATAAGGCCATATCAAAATAATCTTTTTTAAATTACACATTAAGTTCTGGGATACATGTGCAGAATGTGCAGGTTTGTTACATAGGTATATATGTGCCATGGTGGTTTGCTGCACCCATCAACCCATCATCTATATTAGGTATTTCTCCCAATGCTATTCCTCCCCTTATCCCCCACCCCCTGACAGGCCCTGGAGTATAATGCTCCCCTCCCTGTATCCATGTGTTCTCATTGTTCAACTCCCACTTATGAGTGAGAACATGCGGTATTTGGTTTTCTGTTCCTATGTGAGTTTGTTGAGAATGATGGTTTCCAGCTTCATCCATGTATCTGCCAAGGACATGAACTCATTCTTTTTTATGGCTGCATAGTATTCCATGGTGTACATGTGCCACATTTTCCCTATCCAGTCTATCACTGATGGGCATTTGGGTTGGTTCCAAGTCTTTGCTATTGTGAATAGTGCTACAATAAACATACATATGCATGTGTCTTTATAGAATGATTTATAATCCTTTGAGTATATACCCAGTAATGGGATTGCTGACTCAAATGGTATTTCTAGTTCTAGATCCTTGAGGAATTGCCACACTGTCTTCCAAAGTGGTTGAACTAATTTACATTCCCACCAACAATGTAAAAGTGCTCCTATCTCTCTACATCAGCATCTGTTGTTTCCTTACTTTTTAATGATCCCCATTCTAACTAGAGTGAGATGGCATCTCACTGTGGTTTTGATTTGCATTTCTCTAATGACCAGTGATTATGAGCTTTTTTTCATGTTTGTTGGCCACATAAATGTCTTCTTTGGAGAAGTGTCCGTTCATATTCTTTGCCTGTTATTCCTATCAACTAATTTCTATGTGTTCATAAATCGGTTCCCAAAATAGAGGATAATTACCAAAAAAGTTGTTTTTAAGATTTTAAGAAACTGGTTGGAAGGAAGGGTACACATCATGATCACACTAAACTGATGCAAAATAGCTGAAAGTTCAATGCAGAGGTAAACTGCCTGGGTTCAGATCCTGACTTGCCACATCTTAGCTGTGTGATCTCAGGCATATTAACCTCTTTGTGCTTCATTTTTCCTCTTCCACAAAAAAGGAATAATAATATTTCTATTTTATAGGAGCTGCTGAAATGATTAAATAACTGCATCAAATAGTTGGGTGCCTAGCATGTTGTAATGTTGTAAATGAAAATTATTATGTAATACCCTTATCTGTATTTTAAATAATGGGGTAAGAAGCATAATGCATTAAGAAATTGCCAAATGAAAGTGAGAAAAATCTTTAAAAGAACTTGGTACATTAAAAAATAGTAAATAAAAATTATAAAAAGGCATGGTGGTACAAACAGGTGAAAATCATCTTTAAGGATTCTGAAATAATAGTTTTGTTAAATTTGAAAATTTGCACATCAGGCAAATGTAAAGAAATTCCATTAGATAAATCAGTCTCTGCTGACAAAAGTATAAGGTCCATTACAGGTGAATTACTTCACCACAGAAATATTCAGCAAATGATAGCAATAATCTTAAATATCTGTAAACCAAGGATGCTTTCAAACAAAACGTAAGTCTGACTCTATCAATCACAAAGCATAACAAATCACAGCTACATACATTTACTTAAAAGGAAAGCTTAATATCTAACTCAAGTATAGAAAATATTTACCTTTACAATGAGCATATGGCATTGTCATTACATAATCTTCACCTCTATTCAAGAAAGTTAACCGTGCTTCTCCCTCTAATATTGCAGATAATGAGTTTCCTGAAATAAAATATTGTTTATTAGATTTCACAAAATTTATTTAACCAATTTAAAACAAACAAGATACATTTAGAACACCTACCAAACATCTACAGTGGAAAGTCTTAGAAATGTCTCAATCTCAGTGTGCCCAAACATGTATTCGTTACCTTATATCCAAAACATATTTCATTCACATTCTCATTTTTACAAAATTATTACTTTTAAAAGATACACTTATGTTCTTTCTATTTGTTTGTTTGTTTTTGAGATGGAGTCTCTGTCACTCTGTTGCCCACGCTGCAGCGCAGTGGAGTGATCTTTCGCCTCCTGGATTCAAGCAATTCTCCTGTTTCAGCCTCCCCAGTAGCTGGGATTAAAGGCATGCACCACCACGTGCAGCTAATTTTTGTACTTTTAGTATAGACAGAGTTTCCCCATGTTGGGGGAGCTGGTTTAGAACTCCTGACCTTGGGTGATCTGCCCACCTTGGCCTCCCAAAGTGTTGGAATTACAGGCATGAGCCACCACACCCAGCCTATTTTATGAAAGTTATAAGAAAGTAAGAAAACCTGTAGAATACTTAATATTAATAAAACACTGTTTCACTGTATAGCCTAATTTTCTTTTTTGAATAAAACCATTATTTTTTTAGCTGTAAGTTACATTTCTTATAAATCTCAAGCTTTAAATGCTTATAATTGATATAATAATCCTATAGACAATTTAGAAAAATAAAAATATATATAAAGCACCAAAATGCAGTTGATGATAAAATATTATGGTAATGTCTTCTAAGTTTTCTCCCGTATGCATTTTCTCTCCTTATGTTCTCAGCTTTACTGAAGCATAAATTTACATACAGTAACTGACCCATTTTAAGTGTGAAATTTGAGTTTTTGAAATTGCAGAGTCATATAACCACCACCACAATCAAGATATAGAACTTCCCATTACCCCCAAAAAGTCCCTCCTTGCTCCTGAGCAGTCAATCCTTTCCCTCAGCCCCAGGACACCACTGGCGCATTTTCAATCACTGGTTTTACCTATTCTAGATTTCTTAACAGATGGCATTACAGAATATGTAATTTGCTGTGTTTTACTTCCTTCAATTAGCACAATGTCTTTCAGGCTCATCCACACTGTTGTATCAGAATTCTAGTCCTTTTTATTGCTAGTGAGCATTCTGTAGTTGTGATATTTCCATACTAGTTGATGGTCTTTAAGCTGTGTTCAGTCCTGGATTGTTATGAATAATGCTGTGTATGCTTAAGAACATTTATGTACAAGTCCATGTAGACATCTATTTTCATTTTTCATAGGTAAATACCTAGGAGCAGAATTTTTGAGTTTATGATAAATGTATGTTTAACTCTGGGCAATAATTTCTCCCATGTCAAAAAACATTTGACCATGTGTACAGGTCTACATCTGAACTCTACATCTCATCAATTTATACACCTATCATTATGTCAATTCCACACTGTATTGATTACTTTAGCTTTATCCTAAAACAGGCAGTAAAAGACCTATCTTGTTCTTTTTCAAAATTGTTTGGCTGTTTTGGGTCCATGACTTTTCAATGTAATTTTAGAAACAACTTGCTAATATCTTCAAAAAAGCCTGCTAAGATTATGATTAGGATAGCACTGAGTCTATGGCTCAATTAAGGGAGTACTGACATATTTATATATTAAATATCTCAATATACAAACAAAGTATATCTATCAATTTATTTGGGTCTTCTTTAATTTTCCTCAGCAATGTTTTAGTTTTCAGTATACAGGACTTACACATCGTTTATTAAATTTATTTTTAAATATATTATTTGGATACTATTATAATTGGACTTGTTTTTAAATTTCATTCTGAGCTAGGCATGGTGATGTGTGCCTGTAATCTGTTACTCAGGAGGCTGAGGTAAGAGGATCCCTTGAGCTCAGGAGTTTGAAACCAGCAACACAGTAAGACACTGTCTCAAAAAAAAAAAAAAGAAAGAAAATTCCCTCTGCAAGTATTCATTTCTAGTATACAGAAATGCAACGATTTTCTGAATTTGACCATGCATCTTGGGACCTTTCTAAATTCGTTTATTGGTTATCTGAGATTTTTTTTTGTATATTCTTGAAGGTTTTTTATGTAATCTGGTATATAAATGGCTTATCTTCTTCCTTTCCAATCTGTATGCTATTTTCCCTTTAATTTGCCTAATGCATTGCCTAAGACTGCTAATACAATTTTGTATAGAAGTAATTGAGAGTAAATATCCTTGCTTTGTTCTTGACCTTAGGTGGAAATTATTCAATTTTCACCTTAAAAGTATGAAGTTGGCTATATATTTTTCATAGATGCCTTTAATCTAGTCCTAGTTTCTTGAGGACTAAGAAATAAATAGGTATTGAATTCTGTCAATCATTTCTCCATATGTACTGAAATCATACTTTCCTTCTGTTATTCTATTAATATGGTAAATTACATTGCTCATCAGATGATAAACCAATCTTGCTTTCCTCAGATAAACTCCATTTCATCATGATATATTATTCTTCTAATATACTGATCATGATACTTTTATTTATATGTATATGTCCATATAATATCCTTCCTATATGTTGATTTGTTACTAGTTAAGAATTTTTGCATGTATATTCATAAAGGATACTGATCTGTAGTTTATTTTCTTGTAATCTCTGATTTGGGGATCAGGATAATCCTGGCCTCATAAAATGATCTGGTAAGTGTTTTTTCCTCTTCTATTTTCTGCCAAAAATTGTGTAGAACTGGTATTTCTTCCTTAAATCTTTAGAAGAACTCAAAACATCTGGGCCTGGAGTACATCCTCAAAGAAAGATTTTAAATTACTAAATCAATTTATCTGATGTAAGGCTATTTTACAATTTTACACCTATTCTCGGGTCAGCTATGGTAATTTGTATCTCTTAAGAAATTTGCCCATTTCAAATTGCTGTCTCTTAATTATGACTATTTTTGCTTCATAAATTTTGAAGTTCTGTGATTAGGTACATAGGCATTTATGATTATTATGTTATCCTGATGTACTTAACCTCTTTATTTCATTATGAAATGTTCTTTATCTCTACTAACAGTTTTTATCTTGAAATCTATTTTATTAATATAGTCACTCAACCCTACTTGTACTAATACTTGCATAGTTTAGCTTTTAACTTCTACTTTCCATTTACTTTCTTGTTTATTTCTTCTTTTTTGAGACAGAGTATCGCTCTTGTTGCCCAGGCTGGAGTGCAGTGGCCTGACCTCAGCTCACCGCAACGATTCTCCTGCCTCAGCCTCCTGAGTACCTGGGATTATAGGTGTATGCCACCATGCTCAGCTAATTTTTGTATTTTTAGTAGAGACAAGGTTTTGCCATTTTGGCCAGGCTGGTATCCAAATCCTGACCTCAGGTGATCCACCTAACTTGGTCTCCCAAAGTGCTGGGTTTACAGGCCTGAGCCACCATGCCCGGCCTACTTTCTATTTACTTTCAACCTATTTGTGTGTCTACATTTAAGGTATGTTGGTCCTTGCTGGTGTATTCAATATGATAATCACTGTCTTTAAATGAGATTATTTGGGCCATTAAGACTGATATAATCATATTATTGGGTTTTGGTCTATCATTTTGCTATACGTTTTCTATCTGTCCCCTCTGATTTTTGTTCCCTGATGAGGCTTTCCTGTTTCTTTTATAAATTATTTAAATAATGTTTAGCAGCATTCCTGGCAACTATCTACTGGATTTCACAACTGTGAGAACCAAAAATGTCTTCAGACATTGCCAAATGTCTCCTGGGGAGAAAAGTTGTTCCAAATTGAGGACCACCGCTTTAGGGATTACAATATTTATCTTTAAAATGTCACAGTCAGCCAGGCAAAGTGGCTCACGCCTGCAATCCCAGCACTTTGGGAGGCTAAGGCAGGTGGATCACTTGAGGTAAAGAGTTCAAGACCAGCCTGACCAACACGGTGAGACCCCGTCTCTACTAAAAATGCAAATATTAGCTGGTTGTGGTGGTGGGCACCTGTAATCCCAGCTACTCGGTAGGCTGAAGCAGGAGAATCGCTTGAACCAGGGAGGCAGAGGTTGCAATGAGCTGAGATTGTGCCACTGCACTCACTCACAGTTAATCTTTTACCACTCTGTATAGAATAGAAAATTTTGCTGCTTCTGGGTCCGTTCTCTTCCAGGCTTTTGTACTATAGTTACATGTATTAAACCTGCATATGTTATAAAACTCAGTAGATAATGCTGACATTTCTGTTTTGAATGGTTACAGGTATTAAAAGGAAAAAAATAAGAAAAAATGTCTTTGAATTTACCCATATGTTTACCAATTCTGAAATCTTAAATTCATTCTGGATTTAATACATTCTTTCAAATTATAAAGTAACAGATTGCTCTGATATATGTAAATTGTACTGTAACACAGAAATAAAAAGGTCCACTGATGAAGCAATCCCACCCAGAAAGTGAGCCATGCACCTCATACTCAATAAAAATTTCTATAAGGGTAGAACATACATTCACAAAAGCCATTTATACAATAGTCAGGGTAGAAGAGTAGAGGGATGAAAGGTGAAATAGGGAAGAAATATATAAAATGTGAAATATATACAAACTTAAGGGAAAAAAAAACAAGCAATCACCCTCTTAAACAAACAGGATTAAAACAACAACAACAACAAAAACCAAACCAAAATGAACATCAAGAGAAATAAAAGACACCATGAAAAAATGTAACAACACAAACCAGGTTCCTGATCACAAACTCTCTTAGATACCCCTGCCACAGACTTATCTATGGCTCACCACACACTCAGGTAATCAGATGTTGGATTTCTGTTTATATATTTTATTTTTCCTTTTTTATCATAATATTATTATTTTTTTTGCTCAAGCTTATAATTCTTTGGTTGAAATTTAATTGTTCTTCATTTAAATATTTTTTTAAACTATGTAAAAGCATTTTAAGGTTATTTATGTTTTACTGGTATATAGCTTTGGCCACGATTTGTTTGAACTGTCAAAGTTTTTGTATTAAGGTTTCCTACTATAACCATTTCTCTACTTTCCCTTGTACCTGCAAACAGATTTTATGGTACGTTATTTAGTCCAGGGTTAAATATATTTACTGATTGTCCCTGGACCAGGTCTCCTAACCATACTTGGATTCTTCCTCTCTGTTCAAAGACTAAAATGGAAAGATTGATCCCTCAGATACACTGAGATGAAACACAAAAAACTGGCCAGACTAAAGGCAAAAAAAACACTTTATGCACTCAAGGGCTATAACAGGCATTCTGTCCTTTCATAAGTTATGCCTGTGATGAATTTAAACATATGTGATGAATACATAAGCCATACTTTTATTCATGAGTGGGCAGAAAAAGGCCATTATTCAAAAAAAGGTGATACTTAAAATGACAAATTCCTTGCAGAAAATAGCCCATGACACCACCTACATAAAAGCTCACCGGAAAATAATACCTCCTAGGAGAGAGTAAAGGTTGGGACAGGGGAAAACTCACCATAAAACTTGGACTTAGCCAGGATACTACCGCTAAGGCAAAATCCATCTTTTCGATTACTAACATAAAAGGCAGATATTGGTGGATGATGAGAGACCTATTAAACACAAGAAAAAACATGAAATATAAAAAGATAAGCATATTACTGTGACATTATCAAAAGTTCAAGTAAGAGAAAACATTTAAATACTGACGGTTATAATAACCAGTCTCCTGTCTCCTAATGAGACACATCCTTCTGGTATTCACATAGGCCCCTATTTATATTGTACTGAAGTTGGTTTGTATGGAAGTGATACTATGTAATTTCTGAGATTAGGTTACTAAGCACCTTCCATGTTGGGGGCTGTCTGTCTGCCTCTCTCTCAATCATTAGTTCTAAAAAGCCAGCTTTGAGAATGTGAAAAATCATATAGAGAGGCCTATATGGGAAGGAACTGAGCTCTTTTGTCAACAGCCGTTCATGATGAACCTGGACATGAATCTTCTAGCCTGGTCAAGCCTGTAGATGACTGCAAAGCTGGCTGACGGTTAGGCTGCAAGCTCATTACAAACCCTGAGCTGGAATCATCTAAGCAGCTCTCAGATTCCTGAACCTCATCATATGACATAATAAATACTGATTTAACCCATTCAATTTTGGCAGTAATTCGTTAGACAGCAATGGATAACTAATACAGTGATTACTCTTCATATGGATTACTGAATGACTGTAGGAAACAAAAACAAAACAACGTATTATTTAATAATCTAATGCTTTCAATAATATATTTACATTTTATGTTCTCTTACATGAGACAAACTAAAATCAGCATCTCAAGCTTCTTAATTTCAGGAAGAATTAAATGCAAGGTGGTATAATCACTGACATTAAAAAAATTAATATAGACAAGTTGTTTTGACCTGAAGGAGTTATCAAAATCTCTAGGTGAAGAAGATTTTTCAAAGAACACATGGTCTTCTCATTCTCCTTATACTCAAAGTGAGAAGTGCCATAATAAGAAGCCACTGTTATTCAAAGAAAATGTTGTAGTTCTCAGGTTTATGCAGACAGAGAAGACTGAAAATCATGATTACAGATGTACATGAGTTCAAATTAATGAAAGTTTAAAAACTAAAATATTTTGTCTGTATATAACAAAAAGTGGGGTATTATCGGGGAGCAGAGGGAATTAAAGAAGCTAACAATTCAATTAGGAAAATAAATATTCTGTAAAAAGGTAAATGATATAAATGCTAAAATAAAAGCTTAATGGATAATCATAAAAATAATACAGAAGTTTGAGAAGGAAAAAAATCACTGGGAGCTGGAGTCGTTCGGATCATGAAGGATAAGCGGGCCAGGTTTGTTTAGATAAAGAATAGCTAAGAAGAAATACTGGAGTGGGAGAATTAAATATAAAAATGAGGCAAGAAAGTGCTAGATCAGGTTACCTAGTCGTGAACTGCATAGATTTGACTACCGTGGAGAACTAAGAAAGGTATTAATTTGAGATAAATTTGGAAAGATATAGAGGACTTCGAATGCCAGGCCACTGAATAATTTTGTACATGAACAAAAGTTGTTTTGAAAATATGAACTCAGCAAAAAAAAAAAAAAAAAA